TCACTCTTTAAAATCATGTGAATTCCTACATGCGGCTATTTCTGCCTACTTTTTATATAGCTGTATCTTTTCTCAAGACTAATTCCAAAAAAATTTGAGTTCAACGATGAAATTTCCTTTTCTAGCTGCACATTATTTACATATTTTAGCATAAATAAGTGAATGGTATTCCCAACAAAATGAAATTTCCAATGCAATGCATTTCTAATTTTCGAAATAATTTTGAGAAGTTAACACATTTTCTCGGGTATCGTGTTTCAGGGCTCTCACAGAAACGGACGGCAAGTTTTTGGTGAATGTAGCACATGGTATTGATAGAAATATGCATGTAAAATCAACTGAATAGGCTCATGTCATAAATATCCCTTCATTTTCAGTTTTCACCTGCAGTTGTTCGCATGTATATGCAAGCTGAACGACAGTTATACATCATACCTAGCGTGACTCGTGCTGGTACCGAGTCTTTGTCGAGCCAGAACGACACCCATGACACAATGACAAGCATAAACGAAGGAATATATAGCTGAAATGTTGAATTAGCGGAAGATTTAGAGAGAAAGAGAGAGTTAGGAGAGTAGGGACAATGACAGCACGAAGGCACGGGACTAGGACAGGACACACCTGCAGCAGGTAATAGCTGAACTCTCGACGTAGCACCATCTGAGTACGAAGACATGAATACTCGCCTAAACACACCATGCCCAGCACACCTCGACTTGCAAATCGCAGCGATTATCGCTACTGCGATAATCGCTGCGATTGAGAAGAGGTGAAAGCGCACAATTAGCAAAGTTAGCAGCCAAAGCGCAAAACCACCTCTACTAGGAGCTTATGCGTACCCGTATTGGTCTTGCTGGTGCAATACTTCGTGACAACGTCCTGCAGTTCAAAACTGGGCAGTGACTGACGCAACCCGTCTTTTTGCTGCACTGGGTTCGTCGCTTTCCACTCGTACTTGATGTCTTCCGTAGTGTAGGCGTCTGAAACAGAGTACACTCTGTGTTTTCTAGATGTGAATGCGCCCCCCATGGCAACTTGTTGTCGCCGTCTCCGCTAATCGCCTTAGTCATCGGGCTTCTTTCGCCTCTTTCGCACATCCACTAACGCTTTGCAAGTTGATCATACCCACAAAGGTGAAATTTTTAAAAAAAGCAAAGATAAACTCAAAAAATAAGAGGTACGTCAACTTTTTTGTCTAGATATAACGACAGCTTCTAAATACTTCTCCTACTACTTAATTTCGTAATTTTCTCTAGACAATAACCTGAGTACAGCCGCATAATTTTTCGAAAATTAAAACTAAATTAGAAATTATTCCTTTTTCTGAACTTTCCTGAGTAACGTTTGTAGCAAAAAAAAAACAAGAAAAGCATTCGTGTTAAGAATCCAATCTCTAAGGAACGAGAACTCAAAAAACATGAACAATCAATCACCAAACCTTGTCCAACCAAACACGCTTAGTTTGGATATTTTGAAAACTTTGTTACCAAAGTAGATAAAGCCTCTAAGTCTTTCACTTCTTGTTGCAAGCAAGTAAACTAAGTATAATGTGGATGGGAACCTAGGATGAACACTATACCAAGAAACAGCTGACCGCCTTTTTAGTCAATACAGGGCAAAAAAGACCAATGAGCATACCTTGGCGTTTTGTTAAAACTCACAAAGTCTCACTGAGTTTCTATTAGAAACAAAACGATGCTTACAGGATGCTAAGTCGATGAGGCAGTTCTGTCTATCCAAAGGGTAGAATTCCAGAGACATCGGGCAT